GCTACCCCCACACTGCAACCCAGGACGGTTAGAGAAAGGTTTTGAGTTCAATATATTTATCTTTTTGGGTGGCTAACACAACATTTACTTGAAATATACATACTCGAGTTTGCTTCAGTTTCTGGAGTACAATTATCTGTCAGGGTGCCCTTCAGTGGTTTCTTCAGGACTTTGCAGAGATAGCAGTGGTTTCTGGAACTTGCTTTGTATCCAAACTCGCTGCATTTTCACTTGTTTCTTCCTGTTCACTTGTAATCGCCGATCAACCAAATTCTGTACTTCAGTTAATCCAGCCAAGCTGAACATGTTCCATACCTCATCTATTTTTGCATATGAAGAATTATTGTAATTTAAAATAAAAAGGGTCACTTGTAGAATGTAGCAATTAACAAATTGCCATGCAACCAAAGATGGAACTAAATCTGTTTTGCCATTTGAAAGATCAAGGAAACTGCCTGTAGAAGACTTGTGTTAGAGATTAATTCTCATAGCTCTTGATTTATATTGCAGTAAAAAGTGTTTTGTTAGGGCCCAAACCACGCTGGCCATTACTCACAGCATCCAGAGATACCCTTTTGCCAATATGCCAGCGCTGAGTAAACAAATGCAGGCCTTTTGGTCACTGTTCACATGTTAGCAAGATAAAGCTACTTCACCTGCCAAATGACAAGTCAGACTTCTATGCCATATATATGTGTGTGTGTATGTATAGATATATAGATATGCAAAATTATCTCTCTTTCTTGTCAGACATCACTGGAAAACTTTAAGCTTGTCTTGAGTAAGCATAAAACAAGACTCTCAAAATCTGAGAAGGCTCTTTGAATTCAAGTGATTTCCCATACATCTCCCAGATCTTTCTTCTCACTTCTAAAATTACTAAGGCTGGGAAAATCCTGATCCATATCTATTGCTTACAGTCTAGGCTGCAGATGGTAAAAAGAAGAAAAAAATAAGGTACTGTGATGCTTACTTTCACAATTTCCAGTAGCTGGGCTAAAATATACCAGTCTAAGCTGTCTGCCAACAGAACCAAGTGAGGGGACACGCAAAGATGCATCAAGTGGACACACAAATTATTTTCTTACAACAGTTAGCTTTGGGCTTTGAAAAACCAAAGAATTTTAAAAAAGCCAATCAAATCTTTCAATTCCTGTTTTCAGATGAACTTTGATATCCCAAATCACCTTGAGAGACACGCAACCCTTTCTATGAAACTGTAACATTCCATACCTTTGGTAAAGAAATATACTCTGGTTCCATCTCCTCGTACATAAAAATTTTCTGACAAGCAATGACCTAAGAAATTAGAGCAGTAATGAAAAAGGACATGTCACTTTTTTTTCCCTTCTTCAAAAAGAGTTAAAATGAACAGTGAACTACAAAACCATTCAGGAATTACCTCTTTTAAAACGAAGTTGAGCTGTATCGTATCTTCCATAGTCTCGAAATAACAACATTCCTCCAGGTTTCAGCAGCTTAGCCAACCTATTTACAACCCTTTGCATCCTTAGAAGATAGATGGGATACTGGTGACACTAGCAAACATAACAAACTGTACTGCCACAGACAGAAAAGGCAGCACCACCTAAGAGTCAGAGGCTGTTCAAGAGAGGTAGTTGTGCACAGAAATACAGACTCTGCTGACATAACTTAAGATTTGTGCACATAGGAATGTACATGCACAAACAGTGAAAGTGCTTTGAGAAATCTCAGCCAGTAGAAGACATTAATTATATAGCTCAAAGAAAGTTTAATACCTTCCAATTCTGCAACCAAATTTCAGAGGGGCCTTCAGGAGAACTGAAGTGTGTTAAAAACTGAGTACAAGAGCAGCAGTTACCAAAACTACACAACAGCCTGAAGATAAATCACTAAGTAAGAATTTACTGAGTATGAATGCACCCGTCTCACATATATTTTCCACCTCTCCAAAGTACCTAAGTTTTCATCACAATTCTCTTGTTCTTTTCATTCTCTGCTTTCAAAGTTTCCAGAAAAAATGTGTACTGAGCAAGATGACTCTGGATTACATTTCCCTTTATGCAGACATTTTAGTTCTCCAAGATGGCAGCAATGACTAACGCACCTTTGGAAAGTGGGTCTCACAACACAGATGATTACACAGAGATCTCCATGTGTAAATACTCACACACAAAAGCATTCATGTCAGTCATGGGGAGAAGAAAACCCCAACAAACCTCAAAAACCCTCAAACACATTCTCAAAAGACTAATAAGAAAAGCTACACAGAAATTCTGACAGAGCATCTGATTATTGCTTCTACAGGCAAAGTGATGGAATAAATGTGTCATGATTGTCCCATTTCCTCCTGGCAGCATCACTGCAGTTACAGAGATCTGAGGTTTACTGCTTGAATTGGTTTTGAAATCTGGACCCTGGCTTTGCACAGCTCGTGCTCATCTCTGAACAAACAGGAAGGAGCAATATCCTATATGGAAAAGGTTTTCCTGTAAAGCTAATCATTACTGGCTTCAGCAGGGAAACAGTTCTCAGACTTAGGCAAATGCTGTTCTATTTGCCAAGCCCATTTTAATGGCATTCTTTAAGTAATAAATGTATTGTCACACATACAGCATGTATTGCCCTTCATATGATCTAGTTAAAGGGAGAGTCAAGCACTTTAACTTCCATGTCCTCTTTTGCATTTTTCCCATTAAAAAAGGGCATTTTCACAATCAGCCAGCCTTAACAGTCATAAAATGTGGTTCACTAGACACTGAGAGACATTAGCAAAGGCTAACAGTACTCAACATAACACTATACACGAAAATTAAATCAAGTTTTCTTAATCCAAACAAGTTACAAAATTCTGGACACTTTTGGCTTAAAGGGCCTATATGTAAGCATTTGCATGTGGCTAAATCAGCAACCTAAGTCTTTATTAACATATTGTAAGATGTTAAATCACAAATGTTTGGGTTTGGTCAGTAAAAATGACTTCCTTCTAGAAGACTATAATTTTGTTTTTTTAATTTGCTATTTTTTTTAATCTGTCACTTTTAACAGGGACATACTTAGTTATAATATATCTCTTGTATTTTGATGGAGACAGGAAACTCACTAATGAATTAACCTGACCAGATTTTCTCTTGAAGTCTGAAAATGGGAAACAGCATTTAAAATACCTTGTTTTATAGATATAGTAGCTTACTGAATAATAAACTAAAGATTAATCATCTTCTTCTGCTATTCTTGAAAACCTCCAGTGAAAAAAGAGATTTAACCCATTTGCTTTGCCCTTTAGTCTTCATTTACCTGTCAGGATGAATAGTAGAGAGCACAAAGACAAGGAGAATGACATCCAGGATCTCATCTGGAAAAGGATAGGGTAAAGCATCATCACACACATCATGAACAAAGGCAGAACACCAGGCTGAATTGTAGGACGAATGTGACTGTCAGGAAAAAGATGAAAAGAAGCACAGAGAGAACAGTAGTAGTTAATACGTTTACTGTGACTCAAGAAACTTTTTTTCTTCAATTATTCCACATTGTAAAAAATCTCATATAAAAGCCTATTCTGTCTGGTATCTTACTCAAGCTGAGAAACAAGCTCACTGATGGCATTCATTCCTCTCTGCATACAGTAAGACTTTGTTCTTTGGAATATTGAAAACTTCAGTTAAAAGTTGTCAAAGCCATCACATTCTTTTTCATGAGGACGGCTTCCTGGCAGCCTCCTGAATTACAGGCTCCAAAGGTACTCTAAAGCAAGCGTATGAATTACCTTTACCAGCTCCACTGCTCCTGAAGCAAAATCACAACAGTAGAGAAAGGTTCCAGGTGTATTGCTAGGAAAACAAAACCAACATCGGTTAAAAAATTATTATTGTAGAAGATGAAAGTCTACCTCAGTGTTCAAGGAACTACAGAGGGCCCTTTGGGGTTCTCCACAGGCTTGATCAAGCATGCCCCATTGATGTCTAGCACATGGAAAGCCACACAGGTTGTAATGAACCAATAGGGCAGACAAATTCATAAGAATACGAACAGGCAGTTAGCATAAAAAGAATTGTAGCCTTGTCAGGGAGGAAGCAAAAAGGCAAAGAAAGAAGGTCACAGAGGGCTGTCAGGACTGATGACAAAGTCCTGGTGTTGTAATATATAAATGCACATTAATAGGCCACATTTTCCTATAGAAGCACTGCATTGAGTCTCTATCATTAGCCCATGCATGCAGTTTAACTAGCAGTGTGATTTCAGCATGGGTGGGGTGTTGCAAAAGTCATACAGTTCTGTGGATGTTTAGGTTTCCATGTGCCACCTTGCCGTACTTTTGATTAGATTAAGCAGTATTGGTTGTTTCCCTCCATTATCCTTTGTTTTATAAGCCAGGATGAATAAGAATTTCCTGTAGCACTGTTTTCCCTTCCCATCCAAGACTAAGCCAGCTGCAAATTTCCTTATACCATTCATCAGATGCTAGTAATTCTAGGGAGAAGTTTTTTTTCCCTTCTGAAAAATTTGTTTAAGATAAACTGAGCAAAGCCACTCACACTGAGGGATGACCTCATGATCAACTCATGATCAATTAATCTCTCTTAAAAACATACTTGAGATTTTGGACAGATAGCTTCTTTAGAAGGGAATCAACAAACCCTGCCAGTGCCTGTAAGATCTTGGTGTACACAGCTGAGTTAGTAGCTTCACTCTGAAGGCTCAACAGGAGAAAGCTTCTGGAACAAAACATACACCATGCTTGCGATGACCTCATGATCAACTCATGATCAATTAATCTCTCTTAAAAACATACTTGAGATTTTGGACAGATAGCTTCTTTAGAAGGGAATCAACAAACCCTGCCAGTGCCTGTAAGATCTTGGTGTACACAGCTGAGTTAGTAGCTTCACTCTGAAGGCTCAACAGGAGAAAGCTTCTGGAACAAAACATACACCATGCTTGCTGCTGAGCAAAACTTCTATCAGCTCTGTGCCCACCATGAGAACTGATGAGTTTATGTGCTTATTATGGATGAATACAAGTGGCCAAGCTTTGGCCCCAGCCAATCTCTGGGAAAGGTTAAGCTGAATACCTAACAGACTTATTAGCGTGCTTTTTTTTTTTTTTTTTTTTTTTTTTAAAGAATACAATAGGAGCAATGTAGAAAGTCAACTTAAAACAAAGACACAGCTTGATCTGGATGGTGTTTTTGTCATGATTTTGTTAAAAAGCAGTAACTTGAATTTTAAGGGAGGTAGGGGAAGTGATTTCAAAGTTACATTATAAACCTAAGTGAAAAACTGGTTTTATAGTACAGTACACCCATACAGTGACTTCTTTTTATATGCATACAAAAGGCAATTTTTGTATTATTACATTCAGAATAAAAACCAACTGTGCTATAAAGCCAGGCCTGCTAAGAGATAAGAGATGTTCCCATTAGGTCACATATAAGATAAAGGACCAAGTTGTTCAGTGTACCAACCAATGTGATTAACTGAAGGATTTGCATAAGAACAGAGATCTCCAGGAAAACAATACCTAATGAGGGGTTTCTTAATTATCAGAAATGCTAACCTATGACTAATGCCTCCTATGAGGAAAATACAAAAGTTTGTCTCATTGTTTTTAATACAGCCACATGATATCTTTTCCTAGAGTGTTACTTTGCAAAGTTTTCACATGAAATGGGGCTCCCCTCTCATTACATGCTGCCTACAGAAAAGCACTTTCTGTGGGATGAAGATGCACTGCTAACACTTATAGGTGTCATGTATGACCCTGGTGCATCGCTCAATTCCTCCTGTTGTGTTTCCCCATCTGCAAAATGGAGTATTTTTGTATAGTGGCAATACTAGCAAGCAGAATTCATTTATAGAGCAATGAATTGTGCTGTGCTGAAGCTCTTGAAGGCATGAATTAAAAGAAATGTATTTCAACCCTTGCTACATACAGAGCCTTTCCAATAAAACCTTCCTGCCTACATGGATGGGAGGACAATCTGTCATAACAGCTTTTTCTAAAACTGGAAACTAAGTGGATTAGGATGTTTCAGTGAATTAAGTAATGCAATAGAGGACTTGTGCCTTCCTTGACACTAAAACCTGAAGCAATGTGACAATGTATACCAGCCAATTCAGAAATAATGAAACTTCCTACCAGGAGATCACATGCCATTATCTTCTGTGTCTGATTTTGGCCTTTGAAGAAATACTTGGTAGCTTTACGGTGACATATAAAACAAGAGCATATTTCACCTGCCTGAGATTAACTACAAGGAATCAGCCTGAATGCATCTGAAGACAAACTCTGTCAGAAAATACAGTCCCCCCAAAACCAGTGTTGAGCAATATGAGGAGTATCTTGTTTTGATGCTACCAACATTGTCTGTGGTCTGCAAGCAATAAGAATTTCAGGGCTGTAAAACAGTCCACTCAACACTTCCTGCAGCACTGGTCTAGCAACCAAATTTGGAGAAAATGAGAATACAATTATCCTATTTGAAAATCCAACGCTACATACCATAGAACTTTCAAAATAGGAAAGACACTGTTTCCAGCTCCACAACCAACCTAAAAATCAAAAGAGAAATGAAAAGTTAAAATAAATGAGCAAATAAAACCATTTTGGTCTTAAATGAGTTGGCAGGTAGGACCCATTAGATGTGAAGGTATGTTAGACAGAACAGGTATAAACAGCTTGTACCACAATTCTCAAGTAATTTATATGGTCAAGGTTCTCCTCAATGTCTTTCTAAAGGTAAGAGAGAATCCATCTCTCCAACTCCATAGGAAAATGCAATATTCTTGTCCAATTTCACCATTTGGCAAGAATGCATCAAATACTTGCACTTTCAGACAAAGCACTTAAAAACATCACTTTCCTTAGGAAATCAGAAACCCGACTTCCAATGAAAATAGAATCTGACAGCCTGGGAAAAACTTTAAAGGGAAAAGCGAAGTCCAGATCCTGGGTTTCTCTGACAGTTTCTGCCATAAACAAAAGTAGTGTGTCAAATTCTAAATTATTTTCTTGATACTTACTAAAGGTCTTTATCAGACTTCAGCGCAATTAAGTGGAATTCTATATGGTGGGTAGAACATTACCTCTAATATTCTGTAAGTGGCATCACTACCAGGAAAGGATTCTAGCCTGTCACATTCTTCTCTGCAGTTTTCACCCTGAGGATTGTCAGTAAGAGTTTTTGCTTGTTCTTTTTTAGATACATATCCTTGTACAGCAGTAGAACAACTTTCATCATTTTTCTTCCAGTATTTTTCTCCTTCCTCAAACATTTCACTTTTGTGTGAAAAACTGTTAGTACTACTAATTCTTGTGTGTTCTGAAGATCTTTCTTCTGTTTTCAATTCTTGTCTCCTTTTTTCTGGGAGAATTTCTGGAAACTCCAGAAATAGCCAATTGCGATCCTTGAAGAAGTTATTTTTATGGGTCTTGTAAAATTTATTCCAATATTTACTGGCTTCTCTCTCATATTTATCTGAAATTAAAATGCAACAAAACCTTGGTGAGTATGAGCTTAGATCCAAAACACTCTTAAGCAACATGGAATTTGGACCTCAAATGGCACAGTTAAAAAACCCATAGTTTCACACATTGTACATTTAAATTCAGCATGGATCTTGGGTCTTACCTTAATCTGTGCTCAAAATAACTCCCATGAAGGTTTAACTAGATTTATGTCACTTAGGAACAGGCTTTCTGCATAATTTTTTTAATGCAGTGACATAACAGAACAGCATCACCAAAATATTCAATCTGAAGGTTTAGCCAAGGTTTCATGTCTCAAATTATAAAATCAATACATCTTTCCAGTTATTTAAGAAACACTAAGTTGAAATTAATTTCATGGCTTATGAAATTCTGTGATCAATTGCAAATTTGTTGGTTGCTCATCACCTATTAAAAAATAGCAATTAGAAATGCAGTTCTGTGAACTGGAGTGTTAAATGCCACTGCATAGCAAATAGACCATTCACACTCGACCATTCAACAGTACAGTCAGAAGGAACATACTCACTTTTACTTTCAAAACACTTCAGAGTCTTAAAATAGACCTTTGTGTTAACTTTTAGTTCACCGACTGTTCTAACCGAATGTTGGAATGTCAAAGAATAGGACTGGAAGGGATTTCACCCACTTAGGGGATTCATAGCCTTTCCCCACAGAGATCTGTCCAACTGGTTCTGAACACACCACCTTTCACATAGTTCTGACAACTTTCTTCAGTAACACATTACAGTTCGTAGCCTCCTATGCACTTAGAAACCTTTACCACTACCTAACTGAAATTTCTGTGTTGCAATTAGGTCCAGCAATTCTTGTCCCACTAACCAAGCAGATAAAGCAAAGACTGCACTTTTCTCTTTGCAACATCTCTTTACATATTTGAAGTCTTTTACTATGTCTGCCATAAACAATCTATTTTCTTGATTGTGTAAACCTAACCCTCTTCTTTTTTTTCCACAAAAGGCATGATTTTTAGACTTCTGATCATTTTAATTTCTCTCCTTTAGATTCTCTCCAATTGTTTTACTGCTTTTTGGGGCTGTGTTCTGCTAAAGCCATTATCAATGCCGAGTGAGAGGAGCATTTTAGGAGGCTTACAGGCTGTAATCCTGTTTATAACTCCCAGCTTGCCATTGTGCAACAGCATGACACTGCTGATTCAGCTAGTGATTCACCACAACCCTCACATCTTCTTCTGCAAAATGACTACCTCGCCAATTGTTCCAGAACCTTGTATTTTTTCAAGGAATTGTTCCAAAGCAAAGTATTCTGCATTTATTTTTAGCAAATTTCTGTCTTTCACATTCTTTTTTTTCCACCATTTGTCCTGATCTTTCTGGATCCTAATCCCATCCTTCTCCATACTTTAAACGCCTCTTCACTTAGTATCATCTTCAAGTCTCCAGTTTCCTGAGGTCACGAATCAAAATACCAAGCAGAACTGGACACTGAATAAAACACTCCTGTGCCCAGCACAGCCCTCTGTTCTGAAAGGATCTCTCTAGGCATTCATTCACCCAAATGCAGTTTCATTAGCTCCCGCTTGCCTAACTTGCTTATAAAAATGTCAAGTAAAGCAAGTCAGAAGCCTGACTAAGGATAAATTTCAGGACGTCTGCTGTTTTTTCCTTAGCCCCAGGGCTTGTAACCTTCCCCAAGAAGGAAATTAGCTTGATTTTACATGATTTATTCTTGAAAAAATATTTGTTGGCTAGTATTCATGTCCTTTGTTCTTTCAAACCCAGTGTCTGCAAGCCCTGGATGTACTCTTCCAGTATTTTTCCAGGAACTGAAACTAATTATCTGACTCTTCTTTTTCCCCACCTCCCTTTTTAAAAAGAAGTCAATATTCTCTTTTCTGATTTATCAGTCATCCATGTACTCTGTGGATGTACTGTGTAACCTGTTCTTTCTCAGTACCAGAACAAGATCTTTCCTCCTTCTCACTAGCACTAATTGTGCTAGCCACTGGACTGCAGCTAACCCTTTCAAAGGAAGGCTGCTAAAAAGATAAGAATTATCCCTTTTTCCGTGTCTCTTTTGTGGATGCTTTTCCCTTCCTTCTCCCCTCTAAGTACCAAAGCAAATCTTTTTTCTTGTTCCCCCCTGTGTACAGAACTATCTTGTTGCCCTTGACATCTCTTGCTAAGTGTACATCATATGATGTGTTGCCCTTTTTATGTTGTCCTTACTCACACTGACCCATTAATTCTTTCAGTATAAATGCACAGAGTAAATACATGGTGCATTGCTCCTACTACCCTCATTTAAATCTCAACATATTATTTTCTAATTCGCTACAGCATTTCAGAGATAAACAAGGCTGAGGATTATCATTAGAGGCACAGACAGGCAGTGGGAAGTGGCAAGGAGGTGGCAGAATGCCTTGTCCTAGAAATCTGCATAATGTTTTAAAATTAATGTTTAATACAACCAATTGTATTATTAAAGGGCAAGACCCAGCCATGCAGAGTAATTGTACAGGCTTGCTTTATAATGTAAGTGCAGAGTTGATTGAGGTCATATATGTCAGATTTCAACAGTGTAAGTTGCACATTCATAGACTGCTCAGCTTCAGGATAAAAACCAAAAACCCTTCTAGTCAAAAGGTTCTTAAATCATTATCACTCCTTGTTATAGTCAAGTCTGCTCAGAACCCTTGTACTTAAATTCACATTAGGTTTTCCAGATTTCAGAATTGAAGGAAAGCAATAGCTAAACTCAGTCTTTCAAATTGTATTAGTATGAAATTGTACAGGTTCAAATGAAGGAACACTTTCCTTTGCGTTGTTTCACTGGTCACTCCTGCACCACAGTGCAATAACCAGTCATGAAGTAGTACAGACAGATTTTTGTCTCATTTTGTATATTTCAGTAGGCTAACCAAAGCACATAAAAATGACAAAATTAATAAACATAAAATTTCCAAGGCAAAAAAAAACCCCTTACTTTGTCCATTGATTTTTCTCTTTAACAGAATCTCCCAACACTAGCAAGTGTGTCTGAGAAGAAAATGGACATGCTAATAAGTAAATCAAATTCCTGAAGGTAGTAGCATGAATTCATTCAGTTTAACTTCTCTTGCTTTAAAAAGGCTCACCAGAACTATTCTATTTTAGTGACATAATAGTATTGTTGAAATCTGTCTTGTCTTTTTCCCCTTACTGTAGTTTTCAAAGCCCCAAAATAACCTGCTCATTAGCTTCAGTCTAGTTCATTGTTTACACAAATAGGCCAAAATGTACTTCCACTTGCAGAATGAAGCTGCAGCTTTCTGAAGGAACACTATCAGCAGTGCTCACCTATTCAAGCTCTAAACAGAGGGGCATTCATAGGAAATGTCCTTGGATTCTTGTATTTCTTGGCAACAGACAAATGCCTGATTATTCCATTTCTCACCAGCACAAACTAAGCTCTAATTGATTGTAGATGAAGAATGAAAGGTTCCATGAGCCACGTGGCCACACAGCTTACTTTTCAATTATGAGCTCTTTTTCAGCATTTTATACAAACCAAATGAAAATATTAGATGGAATTTTTGAAAAACAAACACTGTACTCCTGTATTTAGATAAAGAATGTGAGAGGTTACAGAAAAAGGCAGGGTTGACAGTCCCAAAGCATTCAGTGATGAAGGGCACACAATCCAAGGCACATTCTCAGGTAATTCAAATAAATTCTAACACGTGCCTTAGTTATATCAATGAAACTGAGCACAGTATCGTAATGACACTATCCAATTTGACAGATTCAAGACACGCTAAGGAAACTGAGGCCCAGGATATCCACGTAATTGCTTTCAGAATAGCTTCCTAAAAACCAACACATTAAGAATCCAGTCTTCTATGCTATTACCAAGTTGATACTCCAGCTTTAACAGAAATCAGTATCCCAGAGTTTAGCCTAGGGTTCAGTTTGCCAGTCTGAACCGAGAGCTATCATTATTCAGAAATTCAGAATACATCAAATTTCCCTTCTGAATACAGGTACAACATTCTGTAATCATTTACAGAGCAGACTCTACAAGATGTATTGGAACACTTTCCACACAATGTGAACACACAGCACTCTCAGCTCAGCCTGGCAAAGGCAGCAAGCTGGGACCAGCTGGGACCAGTGCAACTTCCATGGCACTTACCTGAAATAAGGCTTAATATACAAACACAAGCTCTCTGAACAGTCCACTAATCACCAAAAAACATTTGAATATTGTACAAGGGAACTTTCACCCCCTGCATCCTGGCTGGATACAAATTCATTCCCTGTGATTCTGTAGAAGTCCTATGCAGTGGGAGTTTTATTCTGAAGAACTGCAAAAGGAGTCAGAACAACTGCAACACACTGATGTACCTGTTTTACACAGAACCTATTGCCCCCTCAAATTGCAAAACTGTTCAAATAAGTAACTGAATTGCTAGAAAAACACACTTTGCAATAATCCTCTGAAGCAACAAAGGAAAAAAAAAACCAAACAAGCCAACAAATACAGAGAAGAGAATGCAGAAATAAAGTGTTTTCCTGGATTCTAAAGCATCTTTAAATGTTTTAATAAATAATATTAAAACTAAAATTTTTATACCATTAGGAATTTTTTACCTTGGTCTTCCCATTGAACTTTCACAACTGAGTTCTCTGCTGCTTTTTTCTTGGCATTCTCCTCTTCTTCTTGTGACCACTGCATGTGGTCCCTGCAAAAGGCAGTTGAAAAAACAGTTTTTCAATAGAGATTTTCCATAATATATTTTTCCCAGGAAAAGGTCATGAATTAGCTACACTTTCTCAAATACTTTTTCTTTTTTGAGTGCAAGCAAATGACCACAAGGAGACTGACAGTAAAACCTAAGCTTCAGGGATAGGACAGATAAATCATATAGATATAGAGTGATATGATAGATAAAATTTAATTCCTACTTAGTTAAAACTCACTGGTTAAGAGATATCTCCCAACTGCAGACGCTGAAGTAGTATGCACTTTTTTTTCTTGATAACAGGATTAGTATATATGTTGTGAATTGAGTGTTTATAGGAATGTATTTTGAGTCTCCCATTAGAACTGTGTTTAGCTGAATACAATAACAGACCTAAGTTCAAACACCCTGATGCAAGAAACTTCTTACTTTACTAGTGCTTATGATGAGGAACTAAGGTGATTTAGCAAAGCAAGCAGCAGCTCCTGAAACAGGGAGCATAATCCACCTATCAAGAGGAACTGATCAAGGAATTGATGAAGGTTTTACCCATTTGGGGAATAGAGACAGGTAACATTTCAAAGAGAACAAGACATTCGTGAGAAAAGACAAGCAGTGCTGCAATGGTTCCAAAGCCTATGGCACCCACATTAGTGTAAAGTGGTTAACTAAATGTTATGTTCGCAGAACCAAGCCAAGATCTGACCCTGATGACTAAACTGCCTTCCCTGCAGATTCTGTGTTTGGATCAGGCCACAATGGGGAGTGCCCAAAAATGTGCTGCTGGTGGTTTTAAAAAGCAAATCAGCTGTCTCTCCAAATCATCCAGGCTGAACAGATTAGATTAGAGAATATAATTCAAGTAATCTATTAGATCCTAATCCTACTGAAATCATCTAACTGAAAGCCCATAACTAAAATTCCATTGGTTACTATGGGAAAAGGAACAAGGTGCCAACTTGAAAAGAGTTGATTGTCTCTAAAAGCTAATGAGCATCTTCCTGATCCGTACTTGGTGACATATAGGTAATTTAATTCTTAGGCCTTCACTGTTCCTCTTCTGTTAATTGTGGAAGACTAATTGGTATGTATTTGTCTGCTTGCCTCAGACTTGATTTCCGCATCTCCACTGAAATATTTCTCATTATTGTCCTCAGCAGGTTGCCTCTCCCCTTCCTGTATTTGTTCCTATCCCAAATGTTCCCGTGCAGTGTCACGGCTCTGACAGACGTGCTGCAGTAGCCCGAATGGCCGAAGCATTACCAGGCAGCCATCCTCTTGGAAATACTTGCTTCCCTCACTGCTGTCACTGCTTTTGACCTTGCCTCTTGCAAGCTGAAACCAAGGGCTATTCAGATGGCAAAAGTACAGAGTCATTCTGACAGGTGACTTGCTGTGCTATAATCTTTAGCCGATCAATTTTAATCCATCATTGTGTGTCTGTCAGAACCCTTAAAGGCTCTGTAGGTGCCTGAAGCCCTCCATCTCCATCAACAACTTTTTTCCTTTTTTCCCTTCTTGGAAATTCGTAAAGCTGAGGAAAGATCTTTTGGCCTTTTCCCAGAAATTCCTGTATGGTAGATGCCAAACAAAGTGACTGCAGCAGCACTTCTTGATCAAAGTCTACAAAAGAGGGGACATAGCACAGCTCTTATGCAATCCATTTACGTAGTTTGGATGCTTCAAGTGAGGCAGATCCTTCAACAATACAAGCTGGCAGGAACATAGGACACAGAAGAATTCTAACCACACAAGTCTTTAAATACAGAAGTGTTTTAAGCTGAACATTGACAGCAGCAAAGCCAGCTATCCATTTTAACCACACCAGGAACTGTTAACATGAGTAGGCCTGATATGAGATCAAGGAATGCTGCTTTCAGTTCTTGTTTGACTTATTTTACTTAAGTCCTTTTCCACTGACTTGTTTGGTAACACAGGGTTTAATTATCTCTGATAATGTGAGAACTGTGCCAATTACTAACCTGAATAGAAGCAGACATTTTTTGCTCCAATGTTTAGCATCATTCATTACTTCTCTCTCAACATGGCAGAAAAGCATCACAGTAAACATCTAAAGCATTAATTCCCAAATGTAATTTGCTTAGTATTCCTAGGAGCAGTGGTAGCAGTTCTTGGCTCCCTGCCAGTTCACACACAGACAAAAGGATGCCACTTTTTGAAGTACCGAATATGGTGAGAGGAAAACAAAAAGGAAACCATACATCAGTGCTACAGAAGATAAATCTCTTATGCTCACCCTGCATTATCTATTTTGCACTACCACTACTCATCCCAATCCCCCTTATCTCCCTAGTGAGAACCTTGCCAATTCAGTGAGCTTCAGATCCAAAGACCTACTCCACTTCATAGCCAAGCTCTTGATTTATGAGGACCACCATGACTTCCATGTACCTTTGCTTCAACTCAGTTTCACCTGTTTTCTCCTCTGAGCTACATGGATTCATCTGCAGATCCACTTTCTGAACAACCCAGTTTGTTTCACTCCCATCCTCACAATCCATCCCAACCACCTGTAGCACAGTTCGGTAACTGTTACTAGACTGTCACCAAAGGCTAGCAGGAAAAGCTGAAGCCACACATATCAGTTACTTGGAAGGAAAATAAAAGAAACAAACCTGAATTTCATCGCGATACAAGGTTAAAGAAAGAGTGGCCTTTTTCTTATAAATTTTTCCTACTGTGATTATACAGCCTACGTTTGAATCAGCATTCACACACATGAAGGATTTGTCCACCTAGCAGGAAGCACTAAGACTGAATGGTGCTTAAGAACTACACTGCATATAGATTTATGAAACACAGAGATAAACTTCGTGCTCCTTTAACACACTAACCAAGCACCTCCCACCTTTCCTGACCAAGGAACATACAAAAGTATAGCTGATTCCAAATGAAGGTGGTAAAGGCTGGGGACCATGGCCTGGGGACATCTACTTTAGAAAACACCAGAAGGTGACAGATCTAGTTGCTATCTTAACCCAAAAGTTAAGCCCAAATTTAGAGACTAAAAAGAGTAATGAAGCTACTCGTTTATTAACGAGAAGACAATCTTCTGTGTCATATTCATAAGACCTTTTTGTTCATCAGAATTTGATTAAAGAACATTTAAAAATAATTTAGATTCAAAATAAAGTGGACCAATTAACAAATAACATTGACCACGAAAAGAAGAGCAATTTTTAAAAACCCAGCAAGTTCGAAACTTCATTTCAGAACAAAAGCTTGTCCAATAACTTCTCTGACAGCAGAGGACACCCTCTGCAGAAAGTGTAAGAACTGGAGATCACTTCTATGAAGTAAGGTTAAACCCTGAAACTTGTCATCTGTTACTTCTACGTTTTGCCACCCATTGGTTATTATTAGTCACATCCAGCACCTTTTTCCAATTTTGCCAAATCCTTGCTCAAAAATGGTGACAGAATTCAAAAATATATTTTAAAATTATGTAGAAAATAATTTCTTGTATAGCTTCTACATTCCCCACTTAACAGCAAATATTCCTTCAGTTATGAACTATAGGAATAAATATTACTGGTCTCCAAAGCATATTAGGTAGATATTTCTCTACTTTCTAGATAGATTTAGATATTCTTCTATTCTTCTAAGACTTCCTGTATCACTGTTGTGTATTTATCCCCATTCCACAGTCAAAACCTTAGCCTTTTCAATCTTATTTTTCCCCACTGTGTTGACCAGCGTTCTCACTGTTTTCTGAGCACCCGTTAATTAGGAAAACACCCTTTGGAGATGGAGATGTACTACTGCAAATCAGAGCAATTCTTGTTAACAAACACATTGGTGTCTTCTCTGCTATGACATTGCTTACTTACGTTAAGATTCAATTTACCTTTTTTGATAATTGCACGCTGTATGCAAATCTTTGCTGAGTTATCTCTAACATCCTTTGGAGGAATAAAAGTAATTAACATGTTCCTTTCCAAGGGGTGTCAGTTTTAGACTCGGGCACTAATCCAGTGTGCAGTGTCATTGTACCTAACCATTACAAGTAACACAGATTATCCTATCTCTACACTTTCTGTGATTTAATTCATTACTAATCTACTATAACAATATTTTGCCTTTCATTCCTTGACTAAGTTCTTGCTCAGCAGCTTTTTACACAACTCACTGAGAACTCGTAACTGTCAGATTACTTGTGACAATCTCAAGTTTTCCCTAGTGCTACCTTTACATGTCTATTCTGGCAGTACATAGTTTTATACACACAAACACATACCATTATTCACAGTAAACAATATGCAAAATGATACAAAAATCAGCCTTGAAGAAATATCTCACCACATGTTATGCTCAAAGACCTTAGAAGGATCAGTCAAAATCCGTGATCCAAGTGGAACCGCTGGGCGTCTACTACTTTGGTGCCTGTGCTGCATCTTGGTTTTCCTCAGACATAAAGCAGAAAGTCTTGTAATGAAATTCATTTTGTTCAGAGACCTGAAAACACATTTCACTCAAATTCCAGTTTTGCTGTAACTTAATTGTTTATGTCACTTACATGGGAAACTGGTCAAATAATCAAGAACCAAAATCACCTTTAGTAATAACCATTTACTACAACATCAGTTTAAATGCTTTCTAGAAAACAGCAACACCCCTTCAGTGTACTGAAAGCCCAGACAATCCCAAAGTAGGTTACTGGAGTGAAACCAGTTGAAAGACAAATTATTTGGTATCATTTCAATCAGGCAAGGCAAGGAAAAGAAATACACAGCAAGACAATAACCCAAGTTGGACATTGTACCTCTTAGAAGACAAGCAAGGAATGTTCAGTAAAGAAGCCACTTGTTCTAGTGGGTACATACTGTCATCAAGATGGACATTTTCCACCCCACTCACTGTCTTCAGAAGATTTCATTCTAGAACTCCGACTGGTTTCATGCTTTTTAAAAGAAAATGTCATTTCCTATTTAAGTGCAAACATCACACATCAGGAAGCCTTCCCAGACTTCTGCCATGGATTTCCTCGAGACCTGTTTAATGCCCTCTGTGAAATGAAGGTTTTTAAACGTTACCTTTCTATTAACGCAAATTATAAACTACTTAAGATTTTCCTGTTACATGTCTAATTCTGTCTGATATTGCTACATTTTACTGTACTTAGAATTTCTTCAAACAGCCTCAGTAATGAAAGATAACAAGGGTGTGTAGCTAGAACCAGCATTTTGTCTTGATTCTTGGGGGGTTTCATTTTTTGTTTTTTTTAATTTTTTGTTTGTTTGTTTTTTGCATATTCTCATTAATGTGCGCTTTCTATGAGAGGAATAAAATGAAACACCTCTCCCACTACATTTACCTTGATGTGCCTTTGCTCTTTTTTCCTTTAAATGCTCTGCATATGACTTGAAAAATTCTTCTTACTCCTATTTTTTCCTGCCTTTTTTTTTTTTAATGCATGTGCTGTTTCTGTAAAAACCACACATACAAATTTAATGCACTGGAAATACAAAATGTAGTTACAAAAGAACAGGCACAAGACACTACTAGAAGACATTCTGTGCAAACTGGCTACAAAACAAAGATTCTTATCTTGAGGAAAATAGCACTATTTGATCCCAGGTCTTGTACTGTGCACCAGAAAACATTAATTGGTACACATCAATACAAAGGCTGGCAAAGGAATCACTTTAATTAAATGAACAATTCCTCATTTAAGGTGTACTTCTGAGTGACTCATGCTTTGAAAAGGGCATTGTTTATTCATTTTAAGCCTACAGGGAAAAAAAAAAGGAAAATGATTAAAATTTCTTTTTATTTGTCAAGGATTAAAAAAAAACAGAGTTTGCCTTATGGTTGTCAATGCCAAATAAAAGCACTGCTAATTTTGGCTGCTGAGACTGCAATGTTACCAGGATATGTGGGCATTGCCATACAGTGAAAATGTAACATTTAGTTCTACTTTAAAAAAAAATAAAAAAAATCTAAACTTCTAATGTTAATGAGTTTATTAAGGCTTCTTTTTTTTAAATGTGGCTCAGCAACTAAGACAATTCCAGTTTATATTTCAATTACTACAAATTGTTCATGTTTTCTTTTTGAAAATATGTATGCACTTTTCATAACATAATGCATAATTATTAACATATACGGGATATAATGAAACAATAATTATGAGACATGAAAATTAAGACATCATGGCAATTTCTGCAAAATGTGTAATTTACATAAAGGCAAAGTTCTTGAAAACAAAAACAAATAGAAAGTCCTCCAAAACCCCAAACCACATAATCTGATCCGAAATTGTTATTATTAAATTACAGAAATGCCTGGATAAAGATTCCATTATTGCGTTTCAAAGTGTTTACAAATCCTCTTCCTCCTTCAATCACTTGAAAAGAGTTAGTATCTTGCCTTTCCTGTGCCAGCATTGATATTCACCATCAGATACAATGATTCAGCTGCTAGGCTAGTCACATCATTTTTCTTGGCTTTCTAAATATCTCAATAAGAACATGAAAAGATGCACAGATGGGAATCATAGTCAGATGACTAAGATGATCTTGCATCAGTAAAATCCAGATATGCAACTCTTTCTATGAGAATATGATCCTTTGAGTGCTAATTGCACAATTTTAGCTGATAAACTCAGAAAAGGCAAGGAGAGTGGGGAAGATGGGGGAGTTGACTGCTGCATCCAGAGTTAAATGTGAGTGAACTCCTTGGAAACATGCATCTATATCTCTGAGAGTTGGAAGTGATCTACAGATCATAAGAGTAATGAGCAACCTGGCTACAAAAAACTCAAAAAGCATCTAAATTACTTGGAAGCCTCAATCACATTGCTCAATTGTTTCTCTAATTGATTTTTGTTAATGAAACAGGCAAACACCCTTTCTCTTTGTCAGATCAGATGATCATACCCTGAAGCCATAACAGCAAGAAATGTTGTCTGAAAGAATTAGTTTTTTCCTTGTTCAGAGTCACAGTCAGAAATACTTTTTGATTGTTAATCAAAGCAATCCAACCTTCACCTTTAAGGAAATTAACATGAAACTGAATTACATTAAAAATGGCTAAATTTTATGGCAGTATAACTATTTTTCAGAAAAAAACCCCAACAAACAAACCAAAACTTTAAAGAAACAATGCACTGGATAAACATGCTGAAAAATAACAGGTAAGATTTTTCTCCCTGTGCAGCACTGCCTTTTAGCCTTTAAAACTTTGCCTTTGCTACAAGTACAGATCAGGTCCTCAGCTGAGTTGAGAAATGTTAAGGAATAGCCTTCAAGCTCCTCAAACAAGCTAATGCAGCATCTTTAGTACAGCTTTCTGAAGGTGGACATGCAGAAGAATGTATACACATCACCTGCTAGCTGGACCTGAAATAATACATTTCAAATTGATGTTGGCATTAAACCCTCTGAGCAGTCACACCCACAGAGGAAAAATTAAAGATACAGGAGAAAAGAACTGTTCTAATATTTTTAATAGTGAATTAACGCCCCAAAACATAATGTAAATCCCTTCATTGATAAGTAAAATCCTTTAAAAGTATCAGCTCAGAGATATCAGAGGGAGAAACAAAACAAAAAAGAACAGAAATAACCTGTTATTTTTGTCCAAGATCCTAATTTAATGAACTTATTGGATGAAAACATTTTGATATTTGACCGATCTCCATCTACAAAGCTAACAACCTCTTCCTTCTCCAATCACTAAGCCTACTTGTTATTATAGTCTCTGTTATAAAGAAAACAAATAGCCTGTATTAAGAACAGTATGTGTAGCTTGTGTTCCCTTCCTAGACAGAAAAGTATTCTGGAAACAATTAACTTCATACATTACTTCTGCTTGGCACCTAGAAGCTTATCTAGACAACATTTTACCATAAATCCCCAACACTCCTCCTGTAAAGCTGACTTGTTTTATCACCATCAAACACTACCAAAACTCAAAACACCTTACACAAAACAGATGCAAGTGGCAAACATGGACATAAAGGGAAAAAAGGTGAAGATGATGGTAACACAGAAGGTACAGCTATGAACTACCAGTGGTTACTTTAAAAATGCATACATATTATTATTTCTTAGTATTTCAAATCCAGGGGGTGTGAGGTGACTTTTCTGTCAACCAGACTCATGCACTAAGTGAATGCTTAATGCTATTCCACTCTACCAGGTGACTAATCATGCCCTCTTGGGGCTTCATGATTAGCTTTTCAATGATGTATTTAAAAAAAAAACTGTGCGCATTTGAAGCAACAGGATATTTCACAACTTTTCACACTCAGCAGGTTTAAACATTTCAACTGTTTTTCTTTCTCATGCATCATCCCCAGGAATGATGAAGATCTCCCTGTGGGCACACAGCAGCTTTGGCAGAACTGCTGCAGAGCACTGACTCCCAAGGGGTAAAGGAAAACAAAAGAAAAAATTATTTTGATTTATTCTGACACCTGTAGAGACAACACAGTTAACACTGGTTAAAAAGCAAAGCAGATAAAAACAAACCAACCAATCCCACCAGATCTGATTTCAATCACATGTACAGAAACTCTGGGTGAGAAGTGCCTGCTCTTACACCACCTGTTAAAAATAGGGGACCAAAGAGAAAATAGTTCATACAATGGCAGAGGGAGAGAGAGGGGGAGATAAACCCTGCTCATCCACTGAAAACATTCACGTGAATCAAAGAAGGGTTCCTTTTTACCCTGCACACCCTCTGCTGGCTGCAGCTACACAGGAAGGAGGAACAAGAAAATAACAACAAAAAAAGCTGTTGTGACTTTAACTATATGTATACACGTACATGCACTGTGAGGAACAAATAAACCTCTGAGTGCAATGACTTCTGCTGGTTCTAACCCTATTTCCTACAAAATATTGAACATTTAAACTGTACTGTCTAACAAAAGGTGATTTGTCACAACACAAACTATGTTTTTATTTTGTTAAAGATGACAAGACCTGGGATAGAGCAACACGAATTTTACAACTGTCTCTAATTTATACTGAAGAACCTCAAGCATTCACATTCCTCCAAGACTCTGGGTGACCCTGTGGACTTTGTGTAGGTGCAACGTGCCCTGTCAGCTTTGATGTCACTGGCAATGTTGCAGATCCACCACACAGTACACCCTGCTTACTGTCCTCATCTGCTATTTGGAGGAGCAACTGCAACCACCGTGTTGGTGTGTTTAGCTCATTTCATCCAAATAACTGCAAAGCACCAGAAAATCACTGGAATATTTTGTTACAGTATCAGTGAGGATTAAAGGTTCCACTCCGAGATCTGAAGCACAGACACGGAAACATACAAAAGACCATCAACTTGCGCATTACCCCATGTGGGCGCCGTGGCCTCTGGCAAGGAAGGGAAACAAGGTTTTCCACAGACTTCAGTTGCTCTGCTGGTAAGTAGTGGTAGATGATCGTGACAACTTTCGGGATGCAGGGCTAAAAACACAAAAAATGAAGTGT